AGTCAATGCCGGATCCCGGCGGTCTCCGGCGGTCAACGCCGCGAATCTGGCCCGGAAAAAAAATATTTCAAGAAAAAAAATTATTTTCTGAAAAAAAAAAGTTTTGGGGGTTAATGTGATATATTTGTTAAAATCCGGGGGTCAATGTGTAATATTAAAGAAGTTAGAGCATAATGGGTGGAATTGATACGAATTAGGGTTAAAATTGGGGTCAAAATTGAAATTTGGGTTAAAATTGGTTAATTGATGAAATTGGGCTAAATTGGGGTGTAAATCATGAAATGAAATTGGAGTTAAATTGGGTTTCAAATGAAGTGGGGGTAATTTTGGTATATATAAAGGGATTTTCCTTATTTGCAAATAAGTTTGAATGGGGTGGATTTATTTGAAAGACAAAAAAATTGGATGTCCCTATTTTAATTAAGTGCCCTTGTCATGGGCCTATTTGCCATTACCCCTTATAAGAAATGAATGTTGTAAGTAGAATTAATAGAAGTTAAATACCAAATATATTAAAAAAAAAAATGAAAATAATAAATGAAATGAGAGAATTCAAACCCACAAGTACAATAAAAGGCCGCCCGCCATTAACTCAGCGCATGACGTTGGTTATGAATTGACCATGTAGTATCTGATATTAGATTATTTTGACCCAATACGACATCGTGGCACCTACAATTAGACAATTAGTCAAAAGAGGTATAATTAAATTAAAAAATATATATATATATATTAACGACTAATATCAGATTACGTGCTAAGTACACAGTTAGTGGGCGCCTTTCATTTGTCTGTCGCTAAAAATTAACTCACAGGCGCGTCAGTTTAGCGCTCTTTCCGTCCACAGATTTTCTTCTTATTTTCCGACTCGAATGCTTTTTTCTTTTTTTCTCTCTCTAGAGATCCCCTCGTCGATCTCTCTCTCTCCTTCTCTTTCTCTCTCTAGAAACGAGATGTCGTTGAAATTGAGGCGGTCTTTTCTCTCGCGGCGGATCATTCATCGTTCTTTCGCGCTTTCTAAATCGGGCAAGCAATCCGAATCACGGGATAACCCGACCGTTTGCGGTAATGGCGGCAGCAGGGCGACGATCTCGTCGGAGAGGGGAAAGGGGGAGAGATGACGCGTGATTGTGATACTGG